AGTGATTTTTGGCTGAAATATACATTTGGCGATGAATCTCCAGGAAAGATTGTTTTCCATCTGCGTTCTGCTTTCCCCTTGTCTTTTTTCGCTTGTCGAACTTCAGGTGTGAAGTCCCAAGCAGATGTTTTAGTGACTGGTATGACTCTGTCCTTCACTGGTGCATGTTTGTCTATATATCAGCTCAGATAGAACTCTATTGTATAGCAGAACGAGACTCTCAGCATCAGATGGTGGCTCAAGTATAAGGTCTGAGTTTAGCAAATTGTCTTTAAAAGTATCCATATCCAGGGATCGCATGTTCCTACAGCGAGTAATCTTCACACTTGGACTGGGTATTGAGAGGTCCAAGCTAGATATGGAAATGGTCAGAGAGCTGTAGATCCTATACAGATACACAACTGATACACCCGTCTGTAGCACGGGTAACTATCCAGTCCAGAGTGTGTCCACCTCTGTGGCTTGCCTCTGACACTAGTTGTACACAGTTGTGGACCTCAAGAAGATTAAGTATTCGTTTAGTGTCATGGTTATCCTTGTTGTCAAAATGGAAATTGAAGTCGCCTACGATGATAAGAGCTACTTCGTCAACTTATCCAGTCTGTGCCGAGGCGGTGCTGAGCAGTAATTGCTGCCAATGGTGGCCATACAAGGAACTGACTTTGACGCCATCTTGTGGACTCAAGTAAACAGAAACACAACAGTAAAGGCTTAGTCTATAGACGTTTGAATTTTCACCTTTTTCCATCGGGATAACATGGAATAATTGATCTTAAACTAATGCAAGAAATTCTTCTAAAAAATGGCTTGTGCGTTTCTTTTTTTTTGAGAGTATATTTCCGGGGTCACAGTTTCATGTAAAGACCTCTTCTATAGTTGATGACCGCCTCCGTGGTGTAGTGGTTAGAGCGTCCGCCCAGAGGGCGGATGGTCACGGGTTCGATCCCCGGCCGCGTCATACCAAAAGACGTTCAAATATGGTACTTGTTGGTCCCTGCCTGGCGCTCGGCATTAATGGGTATAACAAGGACTGGTCGGCTCGGAGTCAGTATAATGTGTCTGAGTGGGGTATTCATGCTTCACTGCGGCGTGGTATCTCAGTGAGCTAGCACTATAAAACCAGCTTAAGTCTGGGCTAGTACAAGCAGCCGCACATACACATACAACGATGCACGTTGTCATATGAACGAAATATTCTGAGATATATATTCCGTAACCAAATATGCATGGTATTTGATATTAAAACCATTGTTTTGTTCCGAGTTTTTGCAACTTTTCCGTTCCCAGTTAAATTTGGGCGGCCATCTTGGATTTTGATCTAAAATAGCTTTCGCATCAATATTCAGATTGGAACCAACCATTTTTTTAAACTCCTTTAATATATAAACACAAAAGAATATATGATTTGCTTTCATCAAAAAACTTTCACGAAATCCATAAGCTCCTTGACTATATCATGTTTCGTGTTTGAAACCACATGGTACCAGATGGCAGTACTATAATAGTGTTTGGTATCCATTTGCAGACATACGAGTATATGGCTGTTTAATGGCTATTGCAATGTAGCAAGCATCATGATTGTTATGGTGACAGGCAATCAACTCAGCTCCAGATCTTTACCACGTCTTCCACCAGGCACCACTAGGCAGTAAACCTAGGGTCCCACCCAGCCACAGATACCAGGAGGCTCCATGTCACATGATCTCACTGCTGCGATATCAGAACCGTGATATCCCATCAATCAACGAAACAGTCAGTATTACTGACTCAAAAAAAGATCACATGCAGTCGTTGTATAATAATAATAATAATTTAATAATGATAAATTACAGTGAAGTCCCTGATAAAAGGTATCAAGTGACCAAGCTAATAACCTGAGAATACTGACAGGATTTTGTAAGGCATTCATAGATAGACTGTATACTTAGTATGTCCAGCAGGGAGATTACTGGGAGCCACTCTGTGCTAGCATCTCCGTCTAACATTCATCAAAGACAAAACCAGACTGATTACATGTGATGGTGTAATGTATACTGTGTGCAAACAATGTAACTTATGCAAATAATGTGACTACATGAAGGTGACTGTACATACAGGGTGACAATGTATCTATCTTGTGTACATACAGTGTGACAATGTATCTACCTTGTGTAGATACAGTGTGACAATGTATTTATCTTGTGTACATACAGTGTGACAATGTATTTATCTTGTGTACATACAGTGTGACAATGTATCTGTCTTGTGTACATACAGTGTGACAATGTATCTGTCTTGTGTACATACAGTGTGACAATGTATCTATCTTGTGTACATACAGTGTGACAATGTATCTATCTTGTGTACATACAGTGTGACAATGTATCTATCTTGTGTACATACAGTGTGACAATGTATCTATCTTGTGTACATACAGTGTGACAATGTATCTATCTTGTGTACATACAGTGTGACAATGTATCTATCTTGTGTACATACAGTGTGACAATGTATCTATCTTGTGTACATACAGTGTGACAATGTATCTATCTTGTGTACATACAGTGTGACAATGTATCTATCTTGTGTACATACAGTGTGACAATGTATGTCTTGTGTACATACAGTGTGACAATGTATCTGTCTTGTGTACATACAGTGTGACAATGTATCTGTCTTGTGTACATACAGTGTGACAATGTATCTGTCTTGTGTACATACAGTGTGACAATGTATCTATCTTGTGTACATACAGTGTGACAATGTATCTGTCTTGTGTACATACAGTGTGACAATGTATCTGTCTTGTGTACATATACAGTGTGACAATGTATCTATCTTGTGTACATACAGTGTGACAATGTATCTGTCTTAATGTACATACAGTGTGACAATGTATCTGTCTTGTGTACATACAGTGTGACAATGTATCTATCTTGTGTACATACAGTGTGACAATGTATCTATCTTGTGTACATACAGTGTGACAATGTATCTATCTTGTGTACATACAGAGTGACAATGTATCTATCTTGTGTACATACAGTGTGACAATGTATCTATCTTGTGTACATACAGTGTGACAATGTATCTATCTTGTGTACATACAGTGTGACAATGTATGTCTTGTGTACACACAGAGTGACAATGTATCTGTCTTGTGTACATACAGTGTGACAATGTATCTGTCCTGTGTACATACAGTGTGACAATGTATCTATCTTGTGTACATACAGTGTGACAATGTATCTATCTTGTGTACATACAGTGTGACAATGTATCTATCTTGTGTACATACAGTGTGACAATGTATCTGTCTTGTGTACATACAGTGTGACAATGTATCTATCTTGTGTACATACAGTGTGACAATGTATCTATCTTGTGTACATACAGTGTGACAATGTATCTATCTTGTGTACATACAGTGTGCCAATGTATCTGTCCTGTGTACATACAGTGTGACAATGTATCTGTCTTGTGTACATGCAGTGTGCCAATGTATCTATCTTGTGTACATACAGTGTGACAATGTATCTGTCTTAGTATTATACATACAGTGTGACAATGTATCTGTCTTGTGTACATACAGTGTGCCAATGTATCTATCTTGTGTACATACAGTGTGACAATGTATCTATCTTGTGTACATACAGTGTGACAATGTATCTATCTTGTGTACATACAGTGTGACAATGTATCTGTCTTGTGTACATACAGTGTGACAATGTATCTATCTTGTGTACATACAGTGTGCCAATGTATCTATCTTGTGTACATACAGTGTGACAATGTATCTATCTTGTGTACATACAGTGTGACAATGTATCTGTCTTGTGTACATACAGTGTGACAATGTATCTATCTTGTGTACATACAGTGTGCCAATGTATCTATCTTGTGTACATACAGTGTGACAATGTATCTGTCTTGTGTACATACAGTGTGACAATGTATCTGTCTTGTGTACATACAGTGTGACAATGTATCTGTCCTGTGTACATACAGTGTGACAATGTATCTGTCTTGTGTACATACAGTGTGACAATGTATCTATCTTGTGTACATACAGTGTGACAATGTATCTATCTTGTGTACATACAGTGTGACAATGTATCTGTCTTGTGTACATACAGTGTGCCAATGTATCTATCTTGTGTACATACAGTGTGCCAATGTATCTATCTTGTGTACATACAGTGTGACAATGTATCTATCTTGTGTACATACAGTGTGACAATGTATCTGTCTTGTGTACATACAGTGTGACAATGTATCTATCTTGTGTACATACAGTGTGACAATGTATCTATCTTGTGTACATACAGTGTGACAATGTATCTATCTTGTGTATTACATACAGTGTGACAATGTATCTATCTTGTGTACATACAGTGTGACAATGTATCTATCTTGTGTATGTACATACAGTGTGACAATGTATCTATCTTGTGTACATACAGTGTGCCAATGTATCTATCTTGTGTACACATACAGTGTGACAATGTATCTGTCTTGTGTACATACAGTGTGACAATGTATCTGTCCTGTGTAACACATACAGTGTGACAATGTATCTGTCTTGTGTACATACAGTGTGACAATGTATCTATCTTGTGTACATACAGTGTGACAATGTATCTATCTTGTGTACATACAGTGTGACAATGTATCTATCTTGTGTACATACAGTGTGACAATGTATCTGTCTTGTGTACATACAGTGTGACAATGTATCTGTCTTGTGTACATACAGTGTGACAATGTATCTGTCTTGTGTACATACAGTGTGACAATGTATCTATCTTGTGTACATACAGTGTGACAATGTATCTATCTTGTGTACATACAGTGTGACAATGTATCTATCTTGTGTACATACAGTGTGACAATGTATCTATCTTGTGTACATACAGTGTGACAATGTATCTATCTTGTGTACATACAGTGTGACAATGTATCTGTCTTGTGTACATACAGTGTGACAATGTATCTGTCTTGTGTACATGCAGCATCGGGTGGTAAGGCTCGCTGACTTAGTTAAGACATGTCATCCTATCCCAATTGTGCAGATTGATGCTCATGCTGTTGATCCCTGGATTGTCTGGTCCAGACTCGATTATTTACAGACCGCTGCCATATAGCTCTCCTGTACTGAGAGGGTGTAGTAGTGTTGTGTGTAACATACTTCAGGCTATCTCCTGTAGTGAGAGGGTGTAGCAGTGTCGTGTGTAACATACTTAAGGCCATCTCCTGTAGTGAGAGGGTGTAGCAGTGTTGTGTGTAACATACTTCAGGCTATCTCCTGTAGTGAGAGGGTGTAGCAGTGTCGTGTGTAACATACTTCAGGCTATCTCCTGTAGTGAGAGGGTGTAGCAGTGTCGTGTGTAACATACTTCAGGCTATCTCCTGTAGTGAGAGGGTGTAGCAGTGTCGTGTGTAACGTACTTCAGGCTATCTCCTGTAGTGAGAGGGTGTAGCAGCAGTGTCGTGTGTAACGCGACTTCAGGCTATCTCCTGTAGTGAGAGGGTGTAGCAGTGTCGCAGTGTAACGTACTTCAGGCTATCTCCTGTAGTGAGAGGGTGTAGCAGTGTCGTGTGTAACGTACTTCAGGCTATCTCCTGTAGTGAGAGGGTGTAGCAGTGTCGTGTGTAACGTACTTCAGGCTATCTCCTGTAGTGAGAGGGTGTAGCAGTGTCGTGTATAACATACTTCAGGCTATCTCCTGTAGTGAGAGGGTGTAGCAGTGTCGTGTGTAACATACTTCAGGCTATCTCCTGTAGTGAGAGGGTGTAGCAGTGTCGTGTGTAACATACTTCAGGCTATCTCCTGTAGTGAGCGGGTGTTGAGATGTAGCGTATGACAGACTCTATGGCGTTGGGTAGCCAGTCTCTAAGTAAGTATGGTATCCTGACGTCCAGGTAGGGGAAGTAGATCTCCCTCACACGCCTCTGCCCCCCTTTCACAATGGCCAGGGCTGTGTCTGAGGGGGTGGCGGGCTTCATCACGCTCAGCAAGAACACCTGTCCGAACTCCTTCAACTTTGACATAGCATTGTCTGTACCTGGAGGCAGAGAGATGGCATAAAACATTACAATCTTTGCCAATGCTTCAAAAGTTTTTGAAGGCACAAATTTCTAAGAAAGTAAAAATTCCAGAATTTCTTAAACATTTGGATGGATATTCATTAAAATTTCTTTCTAAAGAGGAATCTGTGTTTTAGTGATACTTGTTAAAAGGTTTTGACCATCAACTCTTGACATAGCAAAAAGCTGTTGTCAAGCCAGACGTATCTTACCTTAGTTATATATTCTCCCAAAAAGTTTCAAATAATATCAAATGATCTGAGAAGTTCAAAGAGGTATCAAGTGATGTAAATGAATGGATTAGAAAAAGGAAAGTCTAAGCATAACATAACAATGAATAGAACATGTTTGTAGTGTAAGAGACCCCAGACCAGCCAGAAAACAGGGGGGTATAGTAACAGACTGACTGTTTAGGATGCCTTGATCTTTAATCGGTCTGTCATCATGATTGGTGAAACATTCATATATGGACATATTTGATATTTTCATATATGGACAATTTGGTGGTGTACTGCAGATGGACATTGATAACAGAAGTCTCCTACTCATGTTCTAAGAGATCTGTATGGGTAGGAAGGTCAGGAGTCATGACTGACATATGTGTTCTGAGACAGCCATATTAAAATTTGCATGTGAATATCATTAAGAATCAACACTGGACACATCCATGTTTTACGAACAGAGACCTGGACATTGCAGCATAGTCTGAACCAGCCTGTTACAGGTATTCCTGTGTAGTCTGAACCAGCGTGTAACAGATATTCCTGAGTAGCCTGAACCAGCCTGTTACAGGTATTCCTGTGTAGTCTGAACCAGTGTGTTACAGATATTTCATCATAGCCTGAACCAGTGTGTTACAGATATTTCTGAGCAGTCTGAACCAGCATGTTACTGATATTCCAGCATTAGTCTGAACCAATGTGTTACTGATATTCCTGAGTAGTCTGAACAAGTGTGTAACAGATATTTCAGCATAGCCTGAACCAGTGTGTTACAGATATTCCTGAGTAGTCTGAACCAGCATGTAACAGATATTTCAGCATAGCCTGAACCAGTGTGTTACAGATATTCCTGAGTCGCCTGAACCAGCGTGTTACAGATATTCCTGAGTAGTCTGAACCAGTGTTACTGATATTCCTGAGTAGTCTGAACCAGTGTGTTAGATATTTCAGCATAGCCTGAACCAGTGTGTTACAGATATTTCTGAGTAGTCTGAACCAGCGTGTTACTGATATTCCAGCATTAGTCTGAACCAGTGTGTTACAGGTGTTCCTGAGTAGTCTGAACTAGCGTGTTACAGATATTCCTGAGTAGTCTGAACCAGCGTGTTACTGATATTCCAGCATTAGTCTGAACCAGTGTGCTACAGATGTTCCTGAGTCATCTGAACCAGCATGTTACAGATATTCCTGAGTAGTCTGAACCAGTGTTACAGATATTCCTGAGTAGTCTGAACCAGCGTGTTACAGATAGTCCTGAGTAGTCTGAACCAGCGAGTTACTGATATTCCAGCATTAGTCTGAACCAGTGTGTTACAGATGTTCCTGAGTAGTCTGAACCAGTGTGTTACAGATATTCCTGAGTCGTTTGAACCAGCGTGTTACAGATATTCCTGACTCATCTGAACCAGCATGTTACAGATATTCCTGAGTAGTCTGAACCAGTGTGTTACAGATATTCCTGAGTAGTCTGAACCAGTGTGTTACAGATATTCCTGAGTTCTCTGAACCAGCGTGTTACAGATATTCCTGAGTAGTCTGAACCAGAGTGTTACTGATATTTCAGCATTAGTCTGAACTAGCGTGTTACAGATATTCCTGAGTAGTCTGAACCAGCGTGTTACAGATATTCCTGAGTAGTCTGAACTAGCGTGTTACAGATATTCCAGCAGTCTGAACCAGCGTGTTACAGATATTCCTGAGTAGTCAGAACCAGCGTGTTACAGATATTCCTGAGTAGTCTGAACCAGCGTGTTACAGATATTCCTGAGTAGTCTGAACCAGTGTGTTACAGATATTCCTGAGTAGTCTGAACCAGCGTGTTACAGATATTCCTGAGTAGTCTGAACCAGCGTGTTACAGATATTCCTGAGTAGTCTGAACCAGTGTGTTACAAATATTCCTGAGTAGTCTGAACCAGCGTGTTACAGATATTTCTGAGTAGTCTGAACCAGAGTGTTACTGATATTTCAGCATAAGTCCGAACCAGTGTGTTACAGATATTCCTGAGTAGTCTGAACCAGCGTGTTACACATATTCCAGCATAAGTCTGAACCAGCATGTTACAGATATTCCAGCATAAGTCTGAACTAGCGTGTTACAGATATTCCAGCATAAGTCTGAACCAGCGTGTTACTGATATTCCAGCAGTCTGAACCAGCGTGTTACACATATTCCAGCATTAGTCTGAACCAGCGTGTTACAGATATTCCAGCATAGTCTGAATCAGCGTGTTACAGATATTCCTGAGTAGTCTGAACCAGCGTGTTACTGATATTCCAGCAGTCTGAACCAGCGTGTTACACATATTCCAGCATTAGTCTGAACCAGCGTGTTACAGATATTCCAGCATAGTCTGAATCAGCGTGTTACAGATATTCCTGAGTAGTCTGAACCAGCGTGTTACTGATATTCCAGCAGTCTGAACCAGCGTGTTACACATATTCCAGCATTAGTCTGAACCAGCGTGTTACAGATATGCCAGCATAGTCTGAACCAGTGTGTTACAGATATTCCAGCATAGTCTGAACCAGTGTGTTACAGATATTCCAGCATAAGTCTGAACCAGCGTGTTACAGATATTCCAGCATAGTCTGAATCAGCGTGTTACAGATATTCCAGCATAGTCTGAACCAGCGTGTTACAGATATTCCAGCATAGTCTGAATCAGCGTGTTACAGATATTCCTGAGTAGTCTGAACTAGCATGTTACAGATATTCCAGCATAGTCTGAATCAGCGTGTTACAGATATTCCAGCATAGTCTGAACCAGCGTGTTACAGATATTCCAGCATAGTCTGAATCAGCGTGTTACAGATATTCCTGAGCAGTCTGAACCAGCGTGTTACTGATATTCCAGCAGTCTGAACCAGCGTGTTACACATATTCCAGCATTAGTCTGAACCAGCGTGTTACAGATATTCCAGCATAGTCTGAACCAGTGTGTTACAGATATTCCAGCATAGTCTGAACCAGTGTGTTACAGATATTCCAGCATAAGTCTGAACCAGCGTGTTACAGATATTCCTGAGTAGTCTGAACCAGCGTGTTACAGATATTCCTGAGTAGTCTGAACCAGTGTGTTACAAATATTCCTGAGTAGTCTGAACCAGCGTGTTACAGATATTCCTGAGTAGTCTGAACCAGAGTGTTACTGATATTTCAGCATTAGTCCGAACCAGTGTGTTACAGATATTCCTGAGTAGTCTGAACCAGTGTGTTACAGATATTCCTGAGTAGTCTGAACCAGCGTGTTACACATATTCCAGCATAAGTCTGAACCAGCATGTTACAGATATTCCAGCATAAGTCTGAACTAGCGTGTTACAGATATTCCAGCATAAAGTCTGAACCAGCGTGTTACTGATATTCATAGTCTGAACCAGCGTGTTACAGATATTCCAGCATTAGTCTGAACCAGCGTGTTACAGATATTCCAGCATAGTCTGAATCAGCGTGTTACAGATATTCCAGCAGTAGTCTGAACCAGCGTGTTACTGATATTCCAGCAGTCTGAACCAGCGTGTTACACATATTCCAGCATTAGTCTGAACCAGCGTGTTACAGATATTCCAGCATAGTCTGAATCAGCGTGTTACAGATATTCCTGAGTAGTCTGAACCAGCGTGTTACTGATATTCCAGCAGTCTGAACCAGCGGTTACATATTCCAGCATTAGTCTGAACCAGCGTGTTACAGATATTCCAGCATAGTCTGAACCAGCGTGTTACAAGATATTCCAGAGTAGTCTGAACCAGCGTGTTACTGATATTCCAGCAGTCTGAACCAGCGTGTTACACATATTCCAGCATTAGTCTGAACCAGCGCGTTACAGATATTCCAGCATAGTCTGAATCAGCGTGTTACAGATATTCCGCAGAGTAGTCTGAACCAGCGTGTTGCTGATATTCCAGCATAGTCTGAACCAGCGTGTTACACATATTCCAGCATTGGTCTGAACCGAGCGTGTTACAGATATTCCAGCATAGTCTGAACCAGTGTGTACAGATATTCCAGCATAGTCTGAACCAGTGTGTTACAGATATTCCAGCATAAGTCTGAACCAGCGTGTTACAGATATTCCAGCATGGTCTGAATCAGTGTTACAGATATTCCAGCATGGTCTGGACCAGTGTTACAGATATTCCAGCATAGTCTGAATCAGTGTTACAGATGTTCCTGGAGTAGTCTGAACTGGCATGTTGCAGATATTCCAACATAGTCTGAATTAGCGTTTGCAGATGTTCCAGCATGGTCTCGAACCAGCCGTGTTACATATTCCAGCATAGTCTGGAATCAGCGTGTTACAGATATTCCAGCCTAGTCTGAATCAGCGTGTTACAGATATTCCTGGGTAGTCTGAACCAGCGTGTTACAGATATTCCAGCAGGTCTGAACCAGCGGTGTTACTGATATTCCAGCAGTCTGAACCAGCGTGTTACACATATTCCAGCATTAGTCTGAACTACGCGTGTTACAGATATTCCAGCATAGTCTGAACCGGTGTGTGTTACAGATATTCCAGCATAGTCTGAACCGGTGTGTTACAGATATTCCAGCATAAGTCTGAACCAGCGTGTTTACAGATGTTCCTGAGTAGTCTGAACCAGCGTGTTACAGATATTCCTGAGTAGTCTGAACCAGTGTGTTACAAATGTTCACTGGTGGTCTGAACCGGCGTGTTACAGATATTCCTGAGTAGTCTGAACCAGAGTGTTACTGATATTTCAGCATTAGTCCGAACCAGTGTGTTACAGATA